CTGGGGGATTTTGTCCCCAAGTTGGAGACCATTACTGTATGCAGAGTTCCCTTCTGGAGCTGGGAATACAGCACTGAAAGCTTCAGACAGTTCCTACCCTCACGGAGAGTATGTTGTAGTTGGGGGCGACAAACATGTAAACCAATAAATGAAATACCTTCATGTGTGATTATAGCCTTATTTTCTTCCTAACACTTATTTCTACTGTTGGCTAAGAGGTATTTCGGAGGATCCTTTTAAACAGCCCCAGGACTAGGACTAGGACTAGGACTTAGCTCTTTCTAGTTCACGGGAAGAGTGACATCTGAGGTTTGGTCAGGGACCTCATCCCCTAAACTTTGGCTTTCTTTGCAGCTATAGAGGAAATCAAAGAGAAAATGAAGACCGTAAAACACAAAATCTTGGTATTGTCTGGGAAAGGCGGTGTTGGGAAAAGCACATTCAGCGCCCATCTTGCCCATGGCCTAGCAGAGGATGAAAACACACAGGTGAGACCTCAGGAACCACTGGGAGATGCTCATTCTGTCTGAGGGTCGTGATGGCTACTATAACTGATTCCTAGGCCAGGCGCAGTGGTTCATGCCTGTAATCCCAGCACTTTGGGAGGCCAAGGCGGGCAGATCACTTGAAGCCAGGAGTTTGAGATCAGCCTTGCCAGCATGGCAAAACTTTGTCTCTACTGAAAATACAAAATATTAGCTGGGCATGGTAGCGCAGGCTTGTAATCCCAGCTGTTTGGGAGGATGAGCCATGAGAATCACTTAAGCCCGAGAGGCAGAGGTTGCAGTGAGTCAAGATTGCGCCAGTGTACTCCAGCCTGGGTGACAGAATGAGACTGTCAAAAACAAAAAACAAAAAAACTGATTTCCTTAGACTAAGTTGAATTGGCCTCTTTGGAATCTCAATCCTGCAGAGAACAAAGAAATACCCAGTAGTCAAATGAAGCATTTCATTGGATTCCCTAGCCAAGAAAATGGCTAGCAGATGTACACCTCTCCTTGCATGTGGATCGTTTATTACATGACGTTCACACTTCTTTTTCCTCTTTATTAACCCCTTTTTGCTTTTCTCTAAGCCAGGTACCTGCAAACTATAACCAGATGGCCAAATACAGCCCATCTCCTGTCTTTATGGCCTGTGAACTAAGAATGTTCACATTTTTGAAATGTTTTTTATTTGTTTGAGACAGGCTCTCACTCTGTCGCCCAGGCTGAAGTACAGTGCTATGATCAGGACTCACTGCATCCTCTACCTCCTGGGTTCATCAAGCTGTCCTCCCACCTCAGCCTCCCAAGGAGCTGGGACTACGGGTGCTTGCCACCATGTCCGGCTAATTTTTGTGTTTTTTATAGAGATGAGATTTTGCTGTGTTGCCCAGGCTAGTCTTGAACTTCTGAACTCAAGGCATCCCTCTGCCTCGGCCTCCCAAAGTGCTGAGATTATAGGCATGAGCCACCGCGCCTGGCCTAAAATTGCAATTTTTAAATTAGTACCTAAGTACCTACATATGATCCTTGATTTTGCCCACAAAGCCTAATAATATATTTTCTATTGGCCCTTGTGGAAAATTTTTGCTGGCCCTTACACAAGTTTATTCATTACCACCCAGGTATACAGACGAGCATGAAAACTCAAATTACCCAGTGCTGCCCTCTGGATCTCAGCTTTAATAAAAGAGGTTGTGGGTCGCTAAGAACACACACTTTGGAATCAGACAGCCCAAACTCAGGTCCCAGCTCCATCTACACCACTGCTGTGACCTTGGGCAAGTTACCAGGCTTACTCTTCCTCCATTTTCTCATCTATAAAATGGGACTCCGAGGACTGAGTGAGATGGCACATATAAAGCACTTAGCACGGGGCCTGACTGCTCAGTAAATGTCTGTGATGGCCACCATTTTTATTACTATATTTCACTAACTCAATATGAAGGGATGATGATTATACTGCCTTAGAGATGAGTTTGTAGCCTACCCAAAGCATGGTGCTGGGCAGATTCAAAATACACTTGTTGGGCTGGGCATGGTGGCTCACACCTGTAATCTCAGCACTTTGGGAGGCTGAGGCAGGCGGATCACTTGAGGTCAGGAGTTAGAGACCAGCCTGGCCAACATGGTGAAACTCTGTCTCAATAAAAAAATACAGAAATTAGCTGGGCGTGGTGGTACGCACCTGTAGTCTCAGCTACTCAGGAGGCTGAGGCACAAGAATCATTTGAACCCAGGAAGCAGAGGTTGCAGTGAGCCAAGATTGCCCCACTGCACTCCAGCCTGGGTAACAGACCGAGACTCTGTTTAAAAAAAAAAAAAGTAGATACACACCCCCCCCCCCATACCCATGCATATACTTATTGATTCATCATTCTGTTGCTTAGCAATCTCTTGCCATTTGAGGGTCAAATTTGTATTGGCCTAGTGGGCTGGCCAAGAAATCTGCTTTCTCAGATTGTCTGTATTGTTTAGAATAATCTTTGCTTTTCGAAGCTGTCAGGAATATTCCTAAACAGCTCACTGGAGATGGGCTTTCATCTCACCACTTGCAAGTAACCACTTGTGAGTAGACAACTGTTTACATCATTCACTTTCATGTAATTACATTCTGAAGTCTTTGCTGCATGCCTGTCTAGACTTTGCAATATATAGAAGGAAAGCACACCATTCAGTGTGGAAATATGGCTAGATCAGCTGTATTTCTTTATGCAGTGGTGGTTTAAAAAAAAAAAAAAAGAAGTTAGCATTTAGGAAAGTGTGTTTTCCCCAGGCAGACCTACTCATGACAGTGACATCGCTATCTGCAAAGTGTCAACACATGGAAAATGCTGAATATGTCTTGATTAAAGTCAAGCAGCACAGATTTCTCCCTGCCCTAAATCCAGCAGGATGGTAAGACGTGCCCTGACCCTTTTCTGCCTGCCATCTGGTGGTCTGGTGGAAGCTTGGCTCTAACTCTACGCAAGACCATTCCATGTTAGCGCTTGAGGCAGGCAGGGCCTTGGATCAAGAGGCAGCCGAATTAGAAAACACCCCTGACGGGTCACAGGCTGCCCATGGGGTGTGTAAGTTGTGGTAAAGGCAGAAGGAGCCTTTGTAGCATAAGCCTGAGCCATGAGACAGCCAAGAGTCACACAAGAGCCAGGCATGGTGGTGAACACCTGTAGTCCCAGCTACTCGGGAGACTGAGGTAGGAGGATCACTTGAGCCTGGGAAGTCAAGGCTGCAGTGAGCCATGGTTGCGCCACTGCACTCCAGCCTGGGCAACAGAGTGAGACCCTACCTCAGAAACAATGAATAAATAACAACTCACCAACTTCCAAATTAAACTTTTTTTGTTGTTTGTTTTTTCTGAGATGGAATGTCATTCTGTTGCCCAGGCTGGAGTGTAATGGTACGATCTCAGCTCACTGCATCCTCTGCCTCCCAGGTTTAACCAATTGTTCTACCTCAGCCTGCTGAGTAGCTCGGAGTACAGGCGCATGCTATCACGCCCAGCTAATTTTTGTATTTTTAGTAGAGACAGGGTTTCACTATGTTTGCCAGGCTAGTCTCGAACTCCTGACATCAGGTGATCCGCCCGCCTCAGCCTCCCGAAGTGCTGAGATTACAGGCATGAGCTACCGCACCCGGCCACCATAAATTAAACATTTATGATCTTTGTGATCTGAAAGGCAAACTGTCATTACAAGGTCAGCACTAGGTGTTTCAGGACTCAGTGTGCAAGGGTGGGTCCTGGGACTGCAGAGCTGGGAGAGGCCTTGACCCCGGAGCACTCGTCTCGCAGATTGGAAGCCCAGACAGCCAAGGCTTAGGGAGCAGAAGCAACTTGTGCAAGGACTAAAAGTTGGGACTAAATCCCTCTTCCCTTACCCTCCTCATCAGGGGCAGTTTGGGGTGCTGGATAAAGGAGACGCTTTGGATCCCAGCAGCCCTGCAGCGTGTCCACCTTCTGCAGCAAACGCCGCCTCTTCCCATCAGCTGCAAACACGGGCCCAGAGGTCCTGCTGTGGAGGAACGCAGGCACATTGCTGTCAGCTTTGCTTCTCTGGCCTAACCTAAGCAGAATTAACTGGACAGATTTGGGGGTAGTAATAGGATCAGCAGGAAGTCTGAACAGACAGGACCCAGGACCACCCTGGCCATCTGGGTAGCAGGAGCTTGTCAGCAGCCTCCTGGGCCTGCCATGGGAGTGAGTGCATTAGATGCTTCTTGCATCCTTACATCATTTCTCTCAAGATTCACTCCCCAAGGGAGTGAAATTCCTCTGAAGGGAATTGATTAAATTGTTCCCTGAAGGAAAGGCATGGAGACAGAGTCGCTAGAAACCTGAGAGTATCGAGGAAAGTCTCTGTCACAGTCATGGTGATAGTGTCATCTCCCCATGGATCATCGACACATCAGTCCCAAGTATCAAGGTCCCGAGAGAGCAAGTCTGGTTTTCCGATGCTGTCACTCTGCGGTGCTCCTCGGATGGCCCCGTAGAGGGCGCCTGAGGCCAGCGCTGGTCTGTGGATGGCGTTTTGCCGTGCACCACGGGTTTGAGACAGCGCTGGGTGCTGAGGAAGTAGGAGGCTGCGTTTGTTGAGAAGATTCAAGAGGGAGGCAAGAAACTAATTCGGAGCAAGTTAAAAAGTGACCCGGAGGTGCAGCACTTTGGGTTTGAGTGATCACATCTTTCAAGATGAATACTGGCCTTGTTCTCAGAAGGTTTCTGAAGGCCGTCTCAGACCTCCTGTGTCAGAGGGGAAGGCTTGGGGTGGAACGGGTCGCCTGAAGCTGCACCCGAGTCACAAGCAAAGAACTTTTCCAGGTTTCCATCTTACTTTAAGTCTCTGTTTTGAAAGCTTAGCCTAAACCATCATTCACCTTCAGGATCAAAGGAAAACAGGGCTTGGTCAGGTTCAGCTAGAGGCTCCACTCTGGTCCTCCACAGCAGGCCCCGTGGTGTACTGGAAAGAGCCCCAGTTGGGGCCAAAAGACCTCAGTTTATGTCCCAGCTCTGTTCCCTGCTTATTGAACTGGTCCCCTCTGAACGTCAGTTTCCTCCTCTGTAAACCAGAGATAATGATACTTACCTTCTAGGTACATGGCCACCTCAGCCTCCCAAAGTGCTGGGATTACAGGCGTGAGCCACTGTGTCCAGTCCGCAGTATTTTTTTAATACATTCATATTCTGCTTAAATAGGCTAGATTTGGCTTGCATCGGAGACTCCTGAACAAGAAAAGATGAGTTTGAGAAAAATATAAGATGCAGAAACCAAGACTTGGTGAGGGGGTGAGCAAAGGAGAGCTGTTGAGGGTGGCTCCAACATTGCTGTCTCTTGGCTATTCCATATATTCTGTCACAGAAGCCAAAAAGGCGCTAGGCCCCTTTCCCTGTCACCTCCAGCCAGGGCTCAGCAAACGGTCTGAGCTCAAGCCTCCAAGTGACCTGACGGCCAGGTCTGTAAGATCACCCTTAAGGAGCTCAGCCAGGCTGAGGGGTAGGGGAATGGGGGCATCCGTGTTTATGAACCTTGAGGTCAGCGTTAGGACTTTCTCTCAGGAGAATCTGATGGCTCCAAGTTTGACCCGGTTTCTGTCTTCTCCCCTGTCCTCCTCTAACCCCACTCCCCTCCCAGTTGTGCGTATCTGGAGTGTGTGCATTCAGTTATGTAACTGCTTTGGTCTCTTCTTGTTCCCCAGATTGCTCTTCTAGACATCGATATATGTGGGCCATCGATTCCCAAGATAATGGGATTGGAAGGAGAACAGGTAATAGCCGGTTACAGAACTCAGGAAATTGTTCTCTTGAGGCAAACTCTGTAGCACTGAACTGTCAAACCTCAACAAAGAGGTGTGC